AACACCTTAATCTCACATTCTAGACCCCAGAATTGTATGATAATAAATTTCTGTTTTAGCCACCCAGTCTGAAGTCATTTGTTATGGCAGCCTTGCAAACTAAACAGTAGGACTGAAATGTGGACAGGGAAGAAAACGAATCCCTTAGGGGAAAAAATGAATAAATAAATAAAGAGGTCAAAATGAGGATAGACATATTGAGGAATAAAGTTTTGAAACAGGGGTTTACATTAGTGAAAGGTACCCACAACTCCCATTCTAATAAATAAGACTCTTTTTATTTTCAGTATTATGTCTTCAGAGAGATAAAACCTTTTAACTTTCAGATCTTTATTCAAAATGTACTTACTCAGAAATGTTTTCCCCTTTCCAAAACGGTGTCTTCTACCCTAAGTCTTTCTCAAGCCCTCTATCCTGCTTTGTTTTCTTCACAACACTCAAACATGAAATTAAAAACTTTTTATATTGGTTATTGCCTGTCTCCCCACTGGAATGAAAGTTCAGTAGGTTCAGGAATCTCATCTCTCTAGTCTACCATTCTATTATATCTTCAGAACCCAGAACAGTCCCTAAATTTAAATATCTATATACATAAAAATATAAATATAAATAGTGATATAAATAAAAGTAAGACTATAAATATCAAATGATGAATTGTCCTAAGAAATGCCATCAGGAGAGAATTTTCTTTGAGAGGCATGGAAAAGCCAAGAGGATACTTCTGGTGAGTGGAGAAGTCAGATTCTGCCTCTTTCCCTTGCCGCAGGTGTTGTGAATCTGAGGCCTTGAGAAACTACAAACCTTGTTCAAGGGGGAAGGAATGGGCACAGGGGAAGACTACCAGGAGCAAAAGGGAGAGGCTTGTGCACACCACATACAGCTTGGATACCCATGCACACACATGCACTTACACAGACTCGCTGTCTTAGCCCCATGTGAAAGGGAAAGTTGGATTCAAGGCAAAGACTGAAAGTTTAAATACTTAAGCATTCTCTTGGACAGCAAGCTAAAATTTCATGAGGATACATGTACAAATAAAATGTTGAGGAGCGTCTAAAATAATATATATCACATTATTCTGTTACAAACATTATAGGTCACATGAGGAAACTGAAACTCTCCGCAGCCCTGCCCAAATATAGGGAACCGTTTAGTGCTGTTCAAGATTATTAGGATTGGCCACTCTGACACCAGAATGAATTATTGTCTTGGTTCCACTGATTTTTTTTGTGTGTGCCTTTTTTAATATGTGCATTTTAATGGCCATTGTTTTTTATTCATGTCAGGTTTATCATTATTGCAGTTAACCTCAAATTTACTTTGGCTAGTATCCTCCTTTGAAAAATCTTTGACATTTCAGTTGGTTTTGATTTGTCTTTTTGGTCCCAATCCATTCAAAATAAATTTGAATAGTGCTTTTCAGCTCACAAAGAATTCATGTTATCATTTGTGCCCTTGAACAGCTCTCTGGGAGAGGCAGAGATTAGAATTTCTAATTTATAGGTAAGTCCACTGAGGCTGAAGATAATGGACATGCCCAAGGTCATAGACATGGAGAATCACAGAATCAACTCCAGGTCTTTGGGCTTCTCTGACACTTTCCCTAAGTGACACTCATTACTAAGCCAGTTTGGCTGGTCAAGAGCCAGTGTCCACACACATTATATATGTTTATGCATATTCGCACATACACATTATCAAAAAGAAATTTAAAAAATATAAAATAGAACTCCAAATAGTATTGTGTTCTGCATCCTCGGAAAAAGGGAGAGAGAGAGAGCAAAGAAAACCCACTCCCCCTGTTCCTTTCCAGCATAATTGAGTCTCCTTCCCGCCAGGTGTTTTTATAGTGTTACATGAATCTGATGTTCTTCTCAGTGATTCAGGGAGAACCATCACACCACTTTGACCACCAAAAATATCCTCAGGGACAAGAGGGAAATTAGTAAGGATAAGTCAAGCAGTAAATTTTAACTAGGGCTCCTACAGAAATATTCAAGTTAAAACTGAACAAAGTTTACTTAAATAAAAAGTCAGAGCAATGTTTCAGATGGCAGACCGAAGGAGGTGGTTTTGAAGAGAGAAAGGCCAAGCCTGCAAGAGGAAATAATTGTGGTAAAGCAGGATCCCGCTGGGTCTTTGGTATTCAACTGGGATTCTTCCAGGCATTTGCCTTCTTCCGGTTTTTCAGTGTTTCATTAGACTGTCCTGGTTTAAAGATTGTTGAGTATAATCCAACACATCCACTGAGTTGATGGAAGGGTGAAGGGCCAAGCATGCTAGATTATTAAATACAACACCACAAGTTCAGGGTTTAATAATTAAATTAATTCATCCCCAAAGGTAGAATTAAGTCCCAGTATATACATTACCAAGTATTACCACGTATTTCTGGTATGGATTAATACCTTCACCTCTCCAGTGACTGCCTCACACACTGAATGTTAGAGCCAGTTGAGACTTTACAGAACAATTGAGTCTTGTTTTCAACAAATGAAAGAGTTGAAAAGATTCTGTTCAGAGACACCAAACTAAGATGAGAACATCTGAAGTTCTGGTCTTCTGAGTGGGAAAAAAGTAAGGAATAGTGGTGTGTGTGGTATGCAGTAATTTATGTCTTAAAGGGGTGTATATTTTATGTGCATATTCATAAAATATATTTGGAAAAAATGTGAAGAAAAATGGGGAAAGTTGTTGGTTCAAAGGGAATGGATTTTAGATACTAAAGAACAGAAGTGGAATGGAAATTCGTTTTTTTCTGGATATTCCTTACTACTCATTAATAGTTTACACATCTGTCACTCCTACCATAACCTCCTTGAGGGCAGGGCCCACTGACCATATTATATTCCTCTTTGTAATCCTTAGGTGGGTCTAGTACTGTTTCTGGTAAGTACTCAATAAATTATTGCTAACACATACAGGCAAGTGTTCTTTTTTTCACCTGAAATAAATGTGACTATTATTCAGTATAAATCAAAAATACTTTTGTGGCTTTATCCAAATTATTTATGATAATTAATCATTCTTAGAAGGACAGAAAATAACAACCTTATATCTTCTCCCACTTTATCAGTACATAAACTATTTAGAGAACACTTGAAATAAACAGTTCTTGAGACTATTATAATTTATGAAATGGAGCAAGTTTTATATATCATTTTGCTGACAGATATTTTTTTCATTTTTCCCCCTAGTTAGTATATTTACAAAAACTGTAAAGCAGTAAATTTTGTGGTAGGGATTCTTTAAATATTTTCTTAGGTGCTTTTTATTAAACAATTCTTCTGTAGCCTGCTCATACTCTTGGCATTACTTTTGAATAGGATATTGCAAAGTCAACGCACATTTTCTGAAAAGTGGAAAACTATGCTCCAGAGTTAAGTAGGACAGCAGAAAAGAAAACAAACTCTCAGGAGAATGGAAATTAAATTATTTATAGACAGAAGTTTATTTAATTGTTTTCCAGAAGATACATTAAAAATCTCTCTTTCTCTCTCTTTCTCTCTCTCTCTCTCTCTCCCCCTCTCTCTCTCTCTCTCTCTCACACACACACACACACAACCTCTCCAGCGTTATGATGGCTCCACTTAGGATTCAGATTTTAATTAAATCCCTTAATAAGGAGTGAGAACAATGTATCTGGTGTTAGCATTGAGGATGAATAACTGGACAGACTTCAATGTGTACCACACTTGCCCTCTAGTGGGTATTTGGAAACACTGCAGTTCCCTGGACTGTTGGGTTTTCAGCCTTAGGCATTTCAAGAGAGCTTTCCAAGCTCATTTTTATAAACAAATACGTAAGCCCCATTTATATTTATTCTGTCAATTGTTAATTAGCAAAGGGTGTTACTAAAGAGATTAGAAACAGTTTATTCTTGTGAGTACTTAAACATCTCTATCTTATTTATACAACTAATTTGCTTTGTAAACTCCTTTCTTTCATAATAGTACAAAGATAAATTTTAATGGACTTCAAATCCAATTAGCCAAATTCTACATGAATGACTTCACAGCATTTAAATAGAAGAAAAAATAAATAACAACCCTGTATGTTCATAATTATGAGTGACTTTTGTAATGACATTTTCGGACTATCTCATGAACAACTTTCTTTACAATTCAGACTTCTGCGGTTGTTGTTTTTGTTGTTTGCTCTTTAACATTTATAGCTATTTGTGACCACACCGAAGCAGCCAAAGGAATCTCAGCCTCTGGCATCAAGGCTATAAATTATCAACTGTTTCCATTCAGAATATAATTTTGGCACTTACTAACAAAGCCTGACTTGCCGCCAAGTTCACCTCCTTTTGAAAAAAATCACTCTATTAGGATTAAATTTGGTGTAACTGTGTGACACAAAAGAATCATGTTTTAAAGAAGGTAGACCTTTGTTTCTCTCTTTAATAAACAAATTCCAAATTTAAGGATCAATATGAAGCCTACATGTTCAACCAGGGCTGAAGTTTCTTCTAACATGGTGCTCTTCAGTGCGCATCTTTCACCTCACGGTCCAAGGTGTCTGATCTGTTTCCGGGCATTTTAGCCAGCAGGAAGGATAAAGAGGAAGAACATGCCCACTCATCTTTAGGATAGTTCTTAGCAGCTGCACCTTTTACAACTATATCCAATTGGTCAGAACTTTGTCGGACGGCCACACCTGGCTGAGAGGTCTTTGTTCTAGGCTGCTCCGTTCCAGCTGAAAATCAAGGTTAACAGTACTGTGGAAGAAGGCAGAACTGATATTCAGGGACAACTCGCAGTCTCTCCTACAATCTATTGTCCTACCAACTGCCTTCACTTTACAGATTCTACTCTTTTCTGTTTTTTGTTTTATTTTTCTTCGTTGTCTATTAAAAGCTAATTTTTTCCATTAGTCTTCTGCCCATGAAGTTCTTGAGAAGAAAGACTGTTTTCTTGTGTGTTTTTTCCTCTTTAACTATAGTCCAATCACTTGGCCTGCAGGTTTCACCATGTCAGTGCCTTCCTTCCCCACAGGTGATGGCTGTGCCACCTGCCCCTCTGCAGCTGCTGGGAGTGCTGCTAATCATTTCCCTGGGCTCCATCAGGCTCACTCAGGCAGGTGCCTACTATGGGATCAAGCCACTGCCTCAAATTCCTCCTCAGATGCAACCACAAATTCCACAGTACCAGCCCCTGGGCCAGCAAGTACCTCACATGCCTTTGAGCAAAGATGGCCTTACCATGGGCAAGGAGCTTCCCCATATGCAGTATGGGAAAGAGTATCCACATCTGCCCCAATATATGAAGGAAATGCAGCCAATGCCAAGGATGGGCAAGGAACCAGCTCCCAAGAAAGGCAAAGGTAACAACAAATCCTGTGCTGTCACAGAACTGCAGCCTTCCAAAACTCTAAACTATGAGTTTGGCTGGAGTGGAGGTGGGGGAGCTAAATTTTAGAAATTTTTATTTTAGAATATATTATTAACATTCACTAAATGGGGGTGTTCTAAACTCTATCCTCTAAAAGTTCAAGTCTTGAAGATATAGGCAAAATTACCATTTTATGTTGTGCTTTATTTTAACAGCATCTAATGGCAGAAAACATACTTATTAGTTTATTTTTTCATTCAGTACATATCATATATATTCAAGCATTTGGCAGTTACTTAACAAACATGTGTTTTTGTGCCACTCTCTGAACTATACACTGGGGGACAAAGTAATGAAAAAACAGAAAGGTGACTACCAGCATTCTGAATTAGGAGAGCAGGGCTGTATGGACCTGTTGTTGTTTAAAAAAAATAAAATAAAATAAAATCATATGAAAGCATTTTGTGACCTAGGTGCTAAATAAATGCAAGTGTCTCTAAGACTGCTCTAATTAAGTTACCATAGGTGTTAATTAATCGACAGGAGAATAAGGAGTATAGATTATACCGAGAAATGATACCTGAAATTTTCTCCCATTACTTTCTAGGCATGCTCATTAGTTATTCAACACCTATACACTGCTTATCACTTTCTCCTAAATTCAATTGGTTTATCAGGAGTTCTAGGAAACTAGCATTTGTAGAGAAGGAACTGCATCAGAGTAGCAACTCCCTTTAAGGAAGTGGAGGCCATCTCGCTGGTCCATGCAGAGGCAGAAGCTTTACTTCTGGGAACTACTGGATTTGACACTAAGAGGCCTGGATGCTCAGAGGCCAGAAATGAGGGAGCCCTAGTCATTTAACCTCTCTGAAGCTACTTTTCTTCATCTGCAAAGTAAGATTATTAAGATAATCAATAACACAAGGTAAATAAAAGTACTAAGTTAATGCTAAAGCACCAAAAGAACTTTGAGTTGCTAGAGCTGGTCACACAACAAACCCTAAGTAAGAGCAGGGTACGTTCCAGGCACTGTGCTAGACACCAGGGATTCCTGATGAATAAGATGGACCTGCCTCAGATGTTCCCTTGATAGAGTAGGATAGTTCTTAGCAGCTGCACCTTTTACAACTATATCCAATTGGTCAGAACTTTGTCGGATGGCCACACCTGGCTGAGAGGTCTTTGTTCTAGGCTGCTCTGTTCAAATACCTCAATACATACTGCTTAGAAAAAAAACAGGCCAAAACTTTACTTTCAGAGATCATTTCTACAGTTAGTTAGAAATAACATGACTTAATAGTACTCTAATAATATCTACTAGCATAATGGAAGAAGTATTCCCAATTTTCTTCTTTAGGAGCTGATATTCTGCTGCGGACATTATCTCAGCCATTTGTTTTCCTCCCTTTCTTGACTGGCCTGTCAGGCTTTTGGCACTTCCTGCACTTACTCAGATGGGAACCAGATTTCAGTCAGGGAATCTGGAAAGGATTGGAGTTCTGTGGTTCTATTTTGTTCCCTGACAGTAGCTCAGTGAAAAATACAATGGTCAGAATTAAGATGCAACTACTGGTTGAAATAAGACTTTGGGACCATAAGTTGCACTTCTTTATGTTGTCCATTAATCCCAGGAGCATGGGGGAATCTGGAGTTATGTTTCTCTGCAAGTCATAGCATAAGCATTTTTAATAATGTATGATTTGTATTTTGACAGCACCTTTCACATCCATTACCTAATCTTGTGTGGGGGGTGTTATTACTCTCACTGTGCAGATGGTGTAAGTGACCCAATGAAGATCTCATTTCAAGACCAGGAAGAAAAGCTGAGCTTCCTGCTCCTAACCCCAGCTCCATTCCTTATCCACACTGCTTGGCATCCTAATATCATAAAGTTGCCGCAACCTTCACTGCTGGGTTCAGGATCTGAAGGAGGGGCCAAGGCATAAATGAAAATGCTATACAAGAAATATGAATTTAGAGGGCATTGGGGGCCAGGTGGAGCCTCTTTCTTAAAGAGACACACCAAGTTCTGGGTCCCCTTTGCTTTTTATTCACTTGAATACACATTTTCCCTTTAGGAATGTGTACAGACAGATCAAAGGTAAAGTTTGGTAAACAGTATATGAATTATCAGGTTAGGAAATTGCCTTGAGCCATTGAACCCACAGCAGGGCAATATTATGCTGATTTTCAGCCCTGCTGAATATCAAAGTCCATTGGTATTCCAATGTTTCTTTTTGCATTAATATGCTAATTACTGTTTGCTTTAGTCTCCAGCATAAAGTACTTTATTCCCTTCTCCTGTTTAAAGACCAAATTTGCAAGTGAAAAATAGCATATTAATGAATGAAAGTTTGAGTCTTAGGAAATCTGCAGTACATTGAAGAAATTAAGCAAATCTCTTTGACTCTAGAGGACAGATGTGAAAGATGTTATTAAACCACAAACAAAATAAAATGCTTCAGTTCTCATGAGTCCACATAATTGCTTTCATCATCTACATCATACCTTATTTTTGCACAGGATAAATATTTTTGCATAAATTATTATGTAAAAAAAATTAAGGAAATGAAAAATACAATATAACAACAAGTAGTAAAAAAATCAGAAAACATAAAAATGAAGAATGACTCCAGTATTGTCTAAAATACACACACACACACACACACACACACACACACAAACAAATACCTCAAACACAAGATGGTAATATATATGAAAATGTCAAGTGATTATCAACTTTGATTTTTCTTTACCCTTTTGTGAATTTTCTAGATTATCTACAGTGAACACACCATAATATCTCCAAGTTTTATACTTGGAAAAAATGTTCATTACCTTTTTTTTTTTTTTTTTTCACTTAACCAATGCTGACAAAAGTAGCTGAAGATATCAGTTCTCAAAAATACTATCTCAAATATGTCAAAGACATTATCATCTTGATTATCTTTTGAGTACATATAACTTACAGTCCTGGAAAATGAGTGCATTATTCTGTCTTTCAATAAATAATAGGCAAGTATGCCAGAACTAAATAATCAGCATCATGATTCCCTTAAAGTGAAGGATAATCAATATTCTCTCTCCTTTCCTTCCCTCTCTCTTCTCTTTCCCAGTAGAAGCACCAGTAGCCAGTTTACGAGGGGAACAAGGTCCTCGTGGAGAGCCAGGCCCAAGAGGACCACCTGGGCCCCCCGGTTTGCCAGGTCATGGGATACCTGGAATCAAAGGAAAACCAGGGCCACAGGGATATCCAGGAATTGGAAAGCCAGGTATGCCTGGAATGCCAGGAAAGCCAGGAGCCATGGGAATGCCAGGAGCTAAAGGTGAAATTGGACCCAAAGGGGAGATGGGGCCCAAGGGGATCCCAGGACCACAAGGACCTCCAGGGCCTCACGGACTTCCTGGCATTGGCAAGCCAGGTGGACCTGGGTTACCGGGGCAACCAGGTCCAAAGGGTGAGAGAGGACTCAAAGGACCACCAGGACCTCCAGGCCTTCAGGGTCCTAAAGGAGAGAAGGGCTTCGGGATGCCAGGCCTGCCAGGCCTGAAGGGTCCTCCAGGGATGAATGGCCCTCCTGGCCCTGTCGGGCTTCCAGGAGTGGGCAAACCAGGAGTGACAGGCTTCCCTGGGCCCCAGGGCCCCCTGGGAAAGCCAGGTCCTCCAGGGGAACCTGGGCCACAGGGCCCTATCGGGATACCAGGGGTTCAAGGACCTCCTGGGATGCCTGGGGTTGGAAAACCAGGCCAGGATGGGATCCCTGGCCAGCCAGGATTTCCAGGTGGCAAAGGGGAGCAAGGACTGCCAGGGCTGCCAGGACCCCCGGGCCTTCCAGGGATCGGGAAACCAGGCTTCCCAGGCCCCAAAGGCGATAAGGGCATAGGGGGTGTCCCTGGGGCGCTTGGACCCAGAGGGGAGAAAGGACCAATAGGCGCCCCTGGAATGGGGGGTCCCCCAGGAGAGCCAGGCCTGCCTGGAATCCCAGGTCCTATGGGCCCTCCAGGTGCGATTGGTTTTCCCGGACCCAAAGGAGAAGGTGGGATTATAGGGCCACAGGGGCCACCGGGTCCCAAGGGGGAGCCGGGGCTTCAGGGCTTCCCAGGAAAGCCAGGTTTCCTTGGCGAAGTGGGGCCCCCCGGCATAAGGGGTTTGCCAGGTCCCACAGGGCCCAAGGGGGAAGCTGGGCATAAAGGTTTGCCAGGACTGCCTGGTGTTCCAGGTCTGCTTGGACCAAAGGGAGAGCCAGGAATCCCAGGGGATCAGGGTTTACAGGGCCCCCCAGGCATCCCGGGGATCGCAGGCCCTAGTGGCCCCATTGGACCACCCGGAATCCCAGGCCCCAAAGGGGAACCGGGCCTCCCAGGGCCCCCTGGGTTCCCTGGAGTAGGGAAGCCCGGAGTAGCAGGACTTCACGGCCCCCCGGGAAAGCCCGGTGCCCTGGGCCCTCAAGGCCAGCCTGGCCTCCCGGGGCCCCCAGGCCCTCCGGGGCCCCCAGGCCCCCCAGCTGCCATGCCTCCCACGCCACCACCCCACGGAGAGTACCTGCCAGATATGGGGCCGGGTATTGATGGGCTGAAACCCCCCCACGCCTATGGGGCCAAGAAAGGCAAGAACGGAGGGCCGGCCTACGAGATGCCTGCGTTTACTGCTGAGCTGACCGCGCCCTTCCCGCCCGTGGGGGCCCCCGTGAAGTTTGACAAACTGCTCTACAACGGCAGGCAGAACTACAACCCGCAGACGGGCATCTTCACCTGCGAGGTCCCCGGCGTCTACTACTTCGCGTACCACGTCCACTGCAAGGGGGGCAACGTGTGGGTGGCCCTGTTCAAGAACAACGAGCCCATGATGTACACGTACGACGAGTACAAGAAGGGCTTCCTGGACCAGGCGTCGGGGAGCGCGGTGCTGCTGCTCAGGCCCGGGGACCGCGTGTTCCTCCAGATGCCCTCGGAGCAGGCCGCGGGGCTGTACGCCGGGCAGTACGTCCACTCCTCCTTTTCAGGATATTTATTGTATCCCATGTAAAAAAGGAAAAGAAGTAGAGAGAGAGAGAGAGAGATTTAATAAAGGAGAAGAAAACGATGCACCAAAAAAAAAAAAAAAAAAATCCAAATCCTTCAAAACATTTATATAGTTGGAAAGTTATATTTAAGTGGAATGTTGAACCATCATGTACAAATAAAAGCTAAGATGCATGTTTAATGCTCTGCACAGCACCCTGTAATGGAGAATGATGGGACAGATTTATGTATCAAGTGCTGACACTTTTGCGTTGTACCCACTGGAATCGTGTTAGCTGTATGTCAGGTGCTTCCATGAAAACCTGCGTATTCGGATCAAAATGTTTCAGTATGAAAGACCATAGCTAATGAAAGTCACTCGTGTTGTTTACGTTTAAATATTTATAAGTATGGCTCAAAGAAAGGCCAGTGATAAGAATTACATACCGTATTTACTTGCATGATTTCCTCTGTATTTGTGCAGAGATTTTTGTCATGGAACGTGGGGGTGGAGTTCTGCATCCTCACCAGCCCTGGTGGGAGGGGGTGGGGCCATGGTAGGGCTTTAGTTGCAAGGGCTTTGTGTCTCCTGTCAGAGATTGTGTCCTTTAGCCACAGGAGTCTTACGCATAATTGTGTGTCTAGGGTCCCTAGAAGAACCAATCAGCCATTGTGTTTACTCAGTGCCCTCTGTGCCTAGCACTGGGGGAGACACTGTCGTGGGGCTTAAGACAGTGCCCCACAAGCAGCTAAGGACCAATTGGGAGACATGAGCAGCAGAAGACTCATTTATTCCTCGCGTTCCTTTTGTCTTTTTTTTTTTTTTTTTTTTTTTTTTTTTGCTTTTTTTCTTCTTTCTTCCCTGTGTGTAATTTCTACTATGGCCCAACTAATACAAACACCTGGAAATCATAATAAAGAAAGAAAAAACCCTCCCCCTCTATAACTTCCCCGTTTTGTGGAACACTTACTATCAATAGTTATTAATTGTGTTTACATATTTTAAAAAATCCCCTCCTGCCCTAACCGGTTTTGCTCAGTGGTTATAGCGTCAGCCTGCGGACTCCAGGGTCCCAGGTTTGATTCCGGTCAAGGATATGTACCTTGGTTGCAGGCACATACCCAGTGGGGAGTGTGCAGCAGGAAGCTGATCAATGTTTCTCTCTCATCAATATTTCTAACTTTCTATCCCTATCCCTTCCTCTCTTTAAAAAAAAAATCAATAAAATATATATTTTAAAATCCCCTCTTTTCCTACACACACAAATGAAGGGGATATCCATATTTCTTAGGAGCATTGGATTTCAAAGAAATTTCCCTGTGTAGTACACATGCAAATTGGTGTGCCATCTGAGATCCTAAAGTCAATTTCCAAATCCAAGCCATCCTTTATCTTTTTTTTGCGGGGAGGGGATGGAGGAATGTAGATTTTCTGAATTATATTTCTGAAAAAAATAATTGCTGAAGTTCTAGAAGTAAATGTACTATTTTCTGATGTAGTTTCTAAAATTATAGGAAAAGAACTGTTTCTTTAGAAGCAATTTGTGAAAAAGCTTCAATGCCAAAGGGCAATGATAGCCCATGCTTTTCATGTCATCCCATACTCAGCACAAAGCAAGAGTTAATAAAAGTTTAAAGGGAGAAATAAATATTGTTTTAGGTTTTCACTTAGGTACATACTAACTCCTTCCAGCATTCACATCTGTTCTCAAAACACAGACAAAGCATTTCCACTCAGCAACGAGTCTACTGCTGTTACTAAGCCATTGGGGGAAATAATGTGAAGTTATAGTGGTGGTATATTGTACCTTTCCTTCAAAATTAAGAATGAGGAGTTACAGGGATAATTACAGATGGGAAATGACACAAATAAATACGGTATAAACACACATGAAAATAAGTCTATGTCAAATCTGAATTGTTTTAACTATCAAGAAAATTCTCCTGATATCTATCTCTTCCTTTATATGGTGCATAAGCACCATTTTTTTTCTCTCTCAATTTCTTAAAAAAAAAAAAAAAAAGAAAAAAAGAAAGAAAGAAAGAAAGAAAGAAAGATAGAAATGAGTTCATTACGACAGGGTTTCTTATTATTGTTACTTGTATGACAAAATTTCCCATTGAAAAGATATCCCACCCAATCTTCATTTTCAAAGCAGACAGCATTTATGTGGCCAAATATCCTTTGGTTGGTCTTGAGGATGCTGGTTTGGGGCTGATAACTATGATGCTGGTTTTGGGCTGATGACATTGGGCTCCTTCTGCTGAACAGCTGCATTGGAATGGCTTGGAAGCAAGTCGGATCAGCTGATTGTAAAACTGTATTTATCTGTACATGTATGGGCTTTTTAGTTCCACCAAGAAAGAAAGTACCTATTTAGTTAAAACCAAATTTCACTTTTCAAAATACCTTCCAACTTATTTATTGGTTGTTACTCAATTGTGTGTGTGTGTGTGTGTGTGTGTGTGTGGTGTGTGTATTATCAGGCATATGCTTCTAACTTTTAGATGGTGCAGGAGCAAAAGCCAGATACTGTATATTCTACAATGGTGCTAATCTCAGAGCAAATGAATTACTCCATTTAATTTAAAAAAGAGTTTTAAATTATCTATGTGTCTGTGTTTCTTTTTTGAGTGTTGCATAGCATGTTAACACATTAGTGTAAAACCAGAAGAAACAATCAAGCATTCTAAAGTCTAGGGATACTACTACAATCCCTATTTAATTCAAAGGTAACTATAACTTTTCCATGTAATAAAAGACCCAACTGGCATTATTGTTATTTAAATACAGAAGTTTAAGCAGTATGACATCAAGGGGAAAGAATTGTTTGCAGTGGGCGACTGTTCTCAAATATTTTTCAGAATACCATGAGCAGTGAACAGACTGGTATCTTTTTCGAGTTTCCATGATAGATTTGAGACTTGTCAACAGCAAATCATTTTTGTATTTAAATATTTGTACTGATTTTTTAAAAAGTCTTATTAAATATCTTTAAAAGTATGTTTCTCATCTTATTCATATCAATCAGGTGACACTGTTTGAGCTTCATGATTTTTTACCCCCCAATGTATTAATTAGTTGATGAAACAGAGACTTAAAACAATCATTGCTTAAATAGGACAATTATTTCTCATTGACATAACAGCTCTGAGCATAAGCAACCTAGGATTCAAGGCAGTAGCTCCAGTAAGGGCCCCAGTTTTCTTCTATAGTAGTTCCCCCTTATCCATAATTTCACTTTCCGTGTTTTCAGTTACCTGTGGTCAACTGTAGTCTGAAAATATTAAGTGGAAAATTCCAGAAATAAACAATTCATGAGTTTTAAATTGCATGCCATTCTGAGTAGCGTGATGAAATCTCACGCCATTCTATTCTGTCCCACTTGGGACGTAAATCATCCCTTTGTCCAGAGTATCCACACTGTGTACCATACCACTTAGTAGTCATCTTGGTTACCATATTAATTATTAGAGAGAAAAAGCCTACATTCACATTTTTATTACAGTATATTACTATAATTGCTCTATTTTATGAGGAGTAGTAGTTGTTAACCTCTTACTGGGCCTGTAAAAACTTTATCATAGGTTTGTATGAGTAGAAAAAAACATGGTATCTATAGGGTTCAGTACTATCTAGTTTCAGACATCCTCTTGAATCACATCCCTGCAGATAGGGGAGGACTATTGTATCTTGTTGTTCTTCCACTCCAAAGGTGTTGCCTTCATCGCCAAGAGCCAGACTAACTAACCATCACAGCCACATTCCAGCCAGCGGGAAGGTGAAAAAATTAGGAAGTGAGAGCATGTTCCCTTAATGGACTTAACCCAGCAGTTGCTTAGATCACTCCCTCCTATATCCCATTGCTTGAATTTAGTCACATTGTCACAAGTTGTGAAGGAGTGTGGAAAATTGAATATTAATTAAGAGTAACCACATGTCCAGCTAGAAATCAGGGGTTCTACTAATATAGAAGGAAGGAGAACAGATATTGGGGGAAATTATCTGCTGCATCTGTCACATCTATAATAAAAGTGTAATATGTTAATTAGACCAGACAGCTGAACGACCTTCCAGATGTCCTTCCAGATGATCTTCTGGACGAAGCAGGGGCTGTGAGGGCCAAGCCCCTTCCACAAATTTTGTGCAGGAGGCCTTTAGTCTACCATAAAAGAAATTACTGTCACAGACTTCTCTTCCCCCACAATCTTCAAACACTCTTCTAGTTCACATTGCCGCATCACAGCCAAATATTTTGAGGGGAGATGGTGGTGAGTGGAGCTACGGAGCAGAAGCAGACCTGTTTCAAGATCCTAAGCATCTTAAGTATCACTGATAAGGAATTATTTTGTGATGACTTGTCAAGCTCAGAATGCTCATAGCTTCTCATGTCTAGAATATTATAAAGGGATTCGTCAAATCATTCAACAAGCAAATATGTAGTTCCAATCTGTGGCTGGTTAACTCATTTGTTTAAACCATCAATTTGGAAGCTCAAGACCACAGTTTCCATTTCCAGCAAGAGCAATTAGTTCTATTTCATTCTAGAGTCAACGACTCTTTATAATATGGACCAGTCATCTTGTGTGTACACAGTGTTGGTCACAGAAGTAAATGGAAGGATAGATACAGGAGACAGAGACAGGAGGAAATATAAGGTTGGAATTTAGAATGCTGGACAAGACCCATCATTACAATGGGTCTACAGTAACCCATTATGTAAACACAAAGTAGCCCCTACTTTGTGCTTGACATTACTAAGGCCATATAAGAGATACAAATACAACAGAAAACAGGGTCTTTCTCCTTTAAAAGTGATAGCTTCTGTTTGGAGGATATCAAGATGTTTGTTAAACAAGAAATGATTTCCAGGTGGTGTACAAACAAATGCAGGGTGGTTTGATGCCAACTGATGCACATGTGCTCCAGAAATTCACAAAGAGAAAGACCATTCTGTATGGCCTCCTTCCTGGGAATGCTTCCTCTAGCTTGTTTGCAGCATAATTCCTGCTCACTCCTCAAGACACAGGGCAAGCTCACTCCTCTTCCTTATTGCTCAGATTTAGTCGCTTTCTCCCCTGTGGCACTACCCTGCCTTTTACAGTCTTCTTTCCTGCTTAGAAATAAACTGTCTTGCTCCCCTATTAGAGTGAAAGCTTCTAGAGGACAGGCACCTTGTTGTTTCATCTTTGCATCCACAGCCCATCACAGAGCACTGGTCCAATACCGGGTTTGAGTGAGGAAGGAATCTCTGAAGGCTGCTGTGGGGGAGACAGTGCCAAACTCAGCGTGAGGTGTGACTGAATCCAGCTGTGCGATTCTAGGATTATATAGAAAATTATATCTCTCAAGATTATTTAGAAGTTCACTGTGGGATAAAACCTAGTCTCAGTTATTTGGAGATGATTTTATTTTTTTTAAACAATTCTATTTGTAAGTTACTAATAATTTTATTTTTAA